CGATGTCTTTCAACTGTTTTGATCAAGGGCCCCTTTCCCTGCCCTTACTGTCTCCCAGAAAACTACAACACTCTGGAAATGACAGCTGCATGTCTCACAGACACTGTTTCTCCAACTTCTAAAACAATTCTCTGTCACGCAGCATCTCTGAAGACTTAAAAATAAGTGTGAAAGGCATGTGAGGGGAGATCCACAGGAGGGAGATTTGCTCATCTAAAAACAAACATGTTTTCTCTCCTGTGGCTGGGGATGTACTTCAGGAGGTTGGGTACAGGACAGAGGGGGTGGGGAGTCCTTCTCTAGCACAGTACAAAAAGGATATCCGCTTAGTGCACACTTGAAACTGTAGCATTTACAGTGAGGAGACAGGAGATCAGGAGTTCAAGGTCATCCTCAGCTAAATAAGGAGTTTAAAGCCAGCCTGGGATATATGAATCCTGTCTCCGCCACCACTCCCCTACCCCACCGCTGCAAAAAAAGAGAAAGAAAAAAAGTCCCACATGTCCACTGTCTTCTAAGCCAGTGTTCTCAACCTGTGGGTCTTGATCCCTTTGGCAAAGCTCTGTCTCTGAAAATATTTACATTATGATTCATAACAGTAGCAAAATTATAGTTATGAAGTAGCAATGAAATAGTTTTATGGTTGGGGGTCACCACAACATGAGAAACTGTATTAAAGGGTCACAGCATTAGGAAGGGTGAGAACCGCTGCTCTAGGCTCCGTGCTTGGGACTGGGGCAGAGAAAGAAATCACCGTACCAGGATAGGAGATGTCTTCTGTCACTCCCAGGCAAGGCAAGCTACCAAACCCCAGTGCTTCTGTTTGTACAATGAACAGTGTCCCTTTACTAATCTGTTTGTACAATGAACAGTGGCAATAGTTTTTACATGCAAATTTGTTATGAGCACAGAACAAATTGGTACATGTTAAGTTCAAACGATCAACTGACATAGGAAGTCCTCTGCAGAGTGGGGTCCCTAGTGTTCTCATGGATCCTACACAATGGCTGGTCACATCAGTGTCTCTGCAGGCCACTAATCACCCCCAAACTGAGGGAGGAATCATCTCCTGCAAGACTTCAGTGCCAACTTCAAACTACCATGAGCCCAAACCAAAGGTACTCCTTCCCTTCCAGAACCCAGAGCAGAAAAGCCAGGAGAGGGCTTCAGTGTCAGAAGATGAAGTGGAGGGACAGAAGATTTGTTTGAGGCTAATCTCATCAGAGATTAAAAAAAAACAAAAACAAAGAAAGAAAACGGAAGACTTGCTAAATGTTTTCTCCCAAGGTCAGGCAGGCAGAGGTCGAGAACTTTGTCACCATGCAGACACGTCACTTCTAGGCTGAAGATAGAGATAACAACTGTAGAGTAAAATCAGTCTACTGAGAAAACCAGGAAATACACTGAGGTAGTGCACAGGTTATTGGATGCCCCAGGGTCTGGAGGTGAGCTGTTGCGGCTTCAGACTCCCTGAGGAACTGTTATCTATTGGCACTGCATGGGATAGCATTGCGTTATGGAAAGAAAGCTCCAGACAACACAAGACGATCCAGTGAACCAATGAAGCCTTTTTAAAGTAGCCTTAAAAAAAAAAAAAACCAGAAAACTATATTGTGTCTTCCGGGAAGAGCCAGTCCCCAGGAAGAGCAGGGAAGCCAGGTAGACACTATCTCACTCTACATGGTTTTTATTCTCCTATGGGTCCAGCACTCGGGTCCCATTCCCTCCCGTTTTGGTTAATTAACAGATGCTTCTCAGCCTCATGCTCAACCAATATAGGAAACACAAGAAAACTTTAAGTGGGACAAGAGTCAACAGCTAACCACTTCCTCCCCCGCTGCCCAGTGCAATATATATATATATATATATATATATATATATATATATATATATATATAATTTGTCTTAACAACACTCAGTCAGGGTCATTAGCTAATGAATCTCTCCACCAGTATCTCAGGGGTGAGGGTGCTTTCCACGTGCCAGCTCCTAAGCACATATCCTTAACACACAGCGCTGCAGCATGGTCCTCGATGCTGTCCTGTGAATGAATGACTATATGGAGGGCCGCTGGACAGCAGGGGCAGGTGGAAGGATGCACCAAAGTGAATGAGTAAATGGGCACTAACAGCCCTTAGGGCCTAGGAAAGCACTAGAACAAACGAAAAGAAATGAGGAAACAGACTAGAATTTTTTTTTTTGATACAGGAGTGTATGGGGGGGGCAGCTTCAACATAAATCACTAATTTTATGGCATATTCTCTTATTTTGCCATTAGAAGAAGAAACAATAGATTGGCTAGTCTTTGAACTCTCAACACCCCCTCACATGGCTTAAAACTGTAACTGCTTAACTCATGGGTCCATAGCACCTGATACATCATAGACACACAATAGTTACAAGTCCCAAGAGAGGCTGAGCAGCAACCCTTTTTCCCACAGCCCTGGCTTGTTGTCCTCAGAACTCATTGGAAACAGAGTTCCAGAGTCAAATGCTAGCTTTCCAAACTGACTCTGCACAGATTAAAAACTGCAGAGCTGGATTCATACAGGTTTTCCTAATGTTACAGGATTACTAAGCCAGGCTTAACCATGTATTCATCTTTAAAACTACTAAACCGGGTTTAACCATGCATCCATCTTTAAATTACTAAACCGGGTTTAACCATGCATCCGTCTTTAAATTACTAAGCCAGGCTTAACCATGTATCCATCTCTAAATCAAGAAGATTTAAGGCAATGGCCAAGATAATTAAGATGACACACTCCCTCACCCCCAGTTCCCAAGCCACAGCCAAGGCCATGACACAGGCTGGCCTTCAGGGAGTCACCCTGGGGTACCTTGCTTTCACTCAACTCCAGGTGTCTTCCACAGGTCACACATGTCATTCTCTATCTGGCTATCAGAGAGTGGTTTTGTCTATTTGGGTGTGTGCTGCTTCCTCTTGGATTGGGTTTGGGTTTTTTGCTGTGAAATCCTGGGTCTGGAAACTCAAGAGTGACAGGCTGTGACTAGCATACTACTAATGTGCTTTGGAAGATGAGCTTACAGTAAGTCCATTGTCCGGCAGCATGCTAACATGTGCTTGGCAAAATGAAAGCCGAGTCATTCTAATGCTCTCTACCCATCACCTGGTTCAACTGTCTCTAGTTAGATGTGTTTGTTTTGAAGGTTTCTAGGGATGCTGGGCAAGCTTTCCACCATTGAGCAATAAGCCTAGCCCTCTAATTTCGTGCAATGTCCCTCCACTCCCATCTGCAAATAACTTTTGTGTCTGAAATGCTTAAGAATTCTGGCACTATGATCAATTTTTAAGACAAAGATAACAGCAATTAGATAAGGAACATTCTAGGGATTACCGGTCCTTCTTGATTCTGCATAGTCAGGGGACTGGGGTTCAAAGCCATGGTTTGGTCTTTAATAGTCTGAAGGTATCCTGAGGTCTTTGCAATTCTTACCACAGATAATCTCAGGCATTCAGGACCCTTATCAGTACCATTAAGGAGGCAATTCTGGTTATTGGCAGTGCCCATTAATTACAAAAAGAGGGTCCACTATCAGGTCTTCTTCAGATGTACTGAATATAGGGAGTAAATAAAGTCACACCTGCTAATTGCACCTGGGTGCAATGAACTATTTGGCACTAGTTCTATCTACCTCTGTTTAGCACGAGGCAGGTGGTAATTTCCTCTCACATCTACGTTTTCTTCTAAAGGTTTCTTTTCCCCCCATGCTGATCAAGAGGATATCATAGTTTTAATTTGGGGCTCCTGGTATTTTTTTCTCAAATAGGAACCCGGTTCCCTCCAACCCCCATACACAGATAGACACATGCACAAGAGCCTGCCACACACACACACACACACACACACACACACACACACACACGACTTCCCTTCTCTCGAGATAACTTTTTCATTAGCTGAGGATGCTGACTGATAACTCTTCAGATGAGCAGATCCTTACAGGTTTGGGGAGACTGGAGGGTGAACTCTGGGTAACGCAGGTGAGAGAGAGCACAAGGAAGGTGACCCTAGAGGCCCCGCTAGGTAGCTAGGTAGTTACCGTGTCTTACACTAACCGAACTTTGATTTGTGGCTAAATGAAGTTCAGAGTAGAGTCAAGACTCATCTCATACATGTTTAGACTTGTGAGAAAGCCCGAGCAGCTGATAACATATTTACCACTGTGAATTCTCAAGTAGTTTCCAAAACTTATTTCAAAGCCTTCTTGTCCTGGAAAGAGTTAAACCTTCCTTCTCCCCTCAGTATCAAGTCTTAAGAAATATGTAAGTTTTTTAAAGCTACCCAAATCACTGGAAAGCTTCATAAACGTCGATCAGAGCACTCCCTTTAAAAAAACCCCAGTGTCTGATGGAGACCCCACAAGCTTAAAATTAAGTAAATACGGCGGCGGTGATTACAAATGCCTGTTTCCTTGACAACTCCCTTCCCCCAGACCGTCTGCGATAGGGAAAAACCAAAATGAAAACGAGGAGGGGGTATCCACAGAATCATGCTGCGCTCCAACGAGGCCCAGCCAGGCCATGCCCAGGAAGGAAATACAAATAAATCAATTTAGATCCGGACTGTATTTTGTGGAGTATTTTTTTGTGGTTGCCATAGAAACACCAGGGCCAGCAGAACGTGTTGCACGAACACAAAAGAGAGCCCGTATATGTGACCAAGAGGATTCTCTACAGCTTCACTGGGTGGCCAAGAAAACGCTTCCACCCTGGGAGGGATGCTCGCGGAGCCCCAAAACGCACACCAAAGCCTGGCACAAAGCAGTAGTCCTCGGAGGAACCCCTGTACCCCCTCCGGTACCCAGCACATCCTTCTCCAGGACCCTCCCAGCCTCCCAGCCTGTCCCGAGCCTATCCCTTCCAAAGTCTTAGGAAAACCAGCCGAGTGGAAGGAAACCAAGATAGAGAAGGCGTCTGACCATTGCACGCCCCACCCCAGGACAGGATGCCTGGAAACCGTGTGGACACCACCTACCTCGTTCCCAGCAACCCGGTGCATTGGCGCTTGCTAGCCAGAACTGCGAGGCAGCTGCCTAGGGTTCAGAAACTGCCTCTACTTTATAGAAGCTGTAACTCAGCCAACACTGGAAAGAAAAAGCGAGACTCCACCCAAAGGGGTGGACCCTTCGGGAAGGAAAAAAAAAAAGGGTGGTCCTCGGCTGACGTCTCTCCCCACCCATGTCACTTCCTTTTAAAGCTACGACTTAGCAGCTGCGGGGAGGGAAGCTCGGACCCGTGTAACATGAGTCATCCTCTTCTCCTTCCAATGAGTGTGAGGAAGTGTCCGGCTCGATCTCCTGTTGGATTCAGATGGGATAGGGATCGACCATTCGCCAGCGTGGACAACAAAGCGGCCCCAGTGGCCTGATGGCGCTCGCCCAGCTCACGAACCCTGTTGCGTCCCCGCAGAGAAAAGGCCTGACCAACCTCGGCCTCCTGCCCTGGAGAAACCCGCGCACTCTGGTGCCCTCCTCACCTCTCCTGGATCCCCCGTGCTTAGAAGGAGGCTGTGCCTTTAACTCCTCGAGCCCGGAAGCACCTTCCAAGATCACACCCAAGACCAAGATGTGCATAACCCTGGATGCCTGGGGCTCGGTTGGGTGGACGCTCTCTTCCAAAGCCAGGCGCCAGGGCCGAGTACCGCTCCGAGTGCGCACACGCGGGCAACACGCACATGCACGTGGCATTTGCACGCGGGTGTTAGCAAGGGTCTGAGCAGACCTTTTTAACAGAATAGAGTCGCGAAACTTTAAAGGAGGGAGGACGATTGGAAGCGCGCACAAAGGCCAGGTTCGTGACATTCCTGGAATGGTTTCAATCACAGGGTGCTTACAGTGCCCTTCACGTGCGCCCTGTTCCAGCCACTGTCACAGACGTTTATGGATTTACGGAAAGAAAGCCCGGAGGTCATTCTGTTCTCTGGGTGCGCTCACAGTACTGCGGAATTCCTAAGTGCTGTAGAAGGGCATAGCAGACAGGGGCCAAGAGAGGGAAGGCACTCGAGTGAGGAAACAGGGTTTGAACTTTGACATCCGGGAGACCATCTGGAATGCTGAGAAGAGCAAAGCAGAATGAAGTGAGGGTGAAAGGCCTAAGGAAGAATTCACCCCAAAAGCCCATTTGCGGGGTGTAAAAATTGCTTGATCGGCTAGTAAGGGCTATTAAAGAAGGTTAATTAAAAAGTTTCCTGTAAGTGCTGGAGATGAGATAATTCAGCAGTTAAGTGGGCTCACTGCTCTCAAAAAAGACAAAGTTCCCTTTCTGTCGCCCGCATCTGATGGCTCACAACCACCTGGAACTCCAGGGAATCCAACACCTCCTTCTGGCCTCCAGGAGCACCTTCGTGAATGTGGTGTACATGAGCACATACATATACACATAAATAAGATAAATTAGTCTAAATTTTTGTTTTCTGCATCCAAGGCATCCAAGATCTTTAAGAGTTCTGTGTAGGGGCTGGAGAGATGGCTCGGTGGTTAAGAGCACTGACTGTTCTTCCAGAGGACCTGGATTCAATTCCCAGCAACCACAGGGCAGCTCACAACTGTAACTAGTTGCAGGGGATCTGATGCCTTCACCCCAGTGCACATAAAATAAAGGTTAAGTAAATTATTTTTAAAAAGGGTTCTTTGTAAACCGCAGTTCCTGGAAGGTTGTGAGGTGAGGGCTGTGACAGAAATGTTCACAATCTGCTTTCTACTTCCATATTCACAAGGGATTATGAACATTTCTGTCATAGTCTAACACTCTAGTTCAGCAGCTATCCCTTGGGGATCCATGCCACAAAAACAAGGCATTAGTCCTCATTCTTAAGGCAGAAAGAGACATGTAAAGAATAATCATACAGCTTAATTAAGATGTTTGCTAAGGTGTAAATTGAAGAACAATAAAGAATCCATGAGGAGGCTGAGTCCCCCTGCAGGTAAAAAGGCTAAAATCATCCTTGATCTGTACTTTGTTTCCACTGATCCTTATGAATACCCACACCCAATACACAGCACTCTAGGCTTGGCTGATGCAATCTGATAAAGGCATTCTCCCAGTTGAGATTCCTCTTCCCAGGTAACTCCAGTTTATATCAAGTTAAAGGGCTAGGGGACAGCCAAGACAGTCATCACAGTCATTTAGTTTTTGACTGAAATTATAAACTCATTTTTTGTTAGCCATGGGATACTTCTGAAGCAAAGGACTCTATTTAATGTCAATCCAAAATCCCGAGGAGGACTTTTTCTTTATCCCATGCATTTCTGTTAGTTTTGTGATGTCTTACTGGTTTTGTCTAAATTTTCAGAGACTTATACCTTATTAATAAACATAATTAGAAGACTTGAATTAAAAGATGAGTTGTTGTTATCCATACTGGCAAAGCACATGAGGTGGTTTGATTGGCAAGCAGGCTTCGGGTTAGGAACCCTGATTAACCCTGGAGTCGTTTGGCAAAGAGATTTAAATGTAGCTCTGTTTTGCATTTTGTCTGTTTCTGTTTTAAAGTTTTGTTTAAACAAAAACATTTAAGTATTTTCTTCAGATATTTTGTTTACAAAGCTATCAAATGTCAAACTCTTAATCATCACTGTGATGTCAGTGTAGGAACTTTAGAAAAAATACTGCAAGCTGAATCCTGACTTCCCTATTGAATGTAGAAATTAAAGGATAATTGTTCAAAATTACTTTTCCTTGAGGCTAGATAACAGCTTAGTAGTTAAGAGCACTTGCTGCTCTTACAGAGGACTAGATTTGGTTTCCAGCATTTTTACAGTGGGTCAGATATTTATACTTAAGTTCCAGGAACCCTGATGCCCTTTTCTGGTCTCCTTTGGCACATGTATAGTAGATTTATATATAAACAGGCAAAAATTCATATACATTAAAAAATGTAAATTATTTTCCCTACTGCATTAGATATTTTGCTCACAGTTGAAAATTCATATTAAAAACACTACACACTAGATACTTGTAACACAAAAAGAATAATCATATAGATGTACACAATGACTCCAGTCTGTAGGGCTCCACAGTGGTTGGAGAAGGGGAAAAGGGATCACTAAACTTTCTCAGTGTATTTCAAACTCTAAGGGAAAGGAAGGGCATTCTCCATCATCACAACAGTAAGAAATAATTATTGCAAAGAAGTCAACTCAGGCTGAGAATAACTAACCTAAAAATCCAAAACCTTCCAAAATCCAAACCTTCTAGAGTGTTTGTGTGACACCTACCTCTTGTCCTGAGCCCAATCAAAGTGCAGACATGCTAATTAATTATTTAATATTGTATAAAATTAACTTTAGGCTACTTTTTTAAAAATTTAAATGTTCAAACCTAGGACCTGTAGAGATGTCTGTCTCAGCAGTTAAGAGCACCAATTGCTCTTCAAGAGGACCTGAGTTTGACTCCCATCACCCATAAGGCAATTCAAACTGTCTGTAACTCCAGCTCCAGGGGATCTAAAGCCCTCTTCTGGCCTCTGAGGAGACCAGGGACATACATATGTGGGGGCAAACACCCACAAGCACAAGAAAATAAATAAGGAAACTTTCATGCTTAGATTTGGGTCTTATCTCCAAGACACATCAGTCACTATGTATAGTCAAATATTCCCAAATCTGGAAAAAAAATCTAAAATGCTTTTGACCATAAGCATTTTGAATAAAGATTAGCCAACCTATCCAGTGGAGAAAGAAGAAACACATTTAGAATGAGATACAGGCAAAAAGTAGTAACTCAGAAAAGGCCATGTGACTAGCTAATAAACCAGAATATAAAAACTGAAGTTTCACCGGGCGTTGGTGGTGCATGCCTTTAATCCCAGCACTTGGGAGGCAGAGGCAGGCGGATCACTGTGAGTTCGAGACCAGCCTGGTCTACCGAGCGAGTTCCAGGACAGCCTCCAAAGCCACAGGGAAACCCTGTCTCAAAAAAACAAAAACAAAAACAAAAAAAACAAAAAACAAAAAAAAAAACAAAAAACTGAAGTTTCGCCAAAACAGGAGTCCAGGGGAAGACATGCTTCTCTCTGGGCTTTCCAAACCCTGCAGACACCACAAGCTCAGTGTGAAGAGAGCAGAGTGCCATGGACTTCTCTGAGAATTGACACAAGCTCTGGAGTTGATTTAAACGAGGCTTTTCATGAGCCTGTACTCCTTAATACAGTCATAGTGCTCACCGTAGCTACATCTAGCAAGTGGGCTGGGAAAACCTGAAGGGTTACACAATGCCCACCCATTGGGAGCAGCTCAGTGACAGCCCAGGAGTATATTCATACCAGAAGCTGCAGGTCGGGTCTGTAGCGTCTTTACAAAAATTGAAATCCTATTTTTGAAACCCAGGGATATCTTCATGCTATAGAAAGTAAGTGAGGAGGGAGCAAGTCTATGTAAAAGTGTAACCGTCTGTATTAGTTATTTCTCCTGTTGCTGTGTTAAAATACCCTGCAAAGGCCACTTTAAAGGAGGAATTAATTTCCGCGCAGTTTCAGCACTTTAAAGGAGGAATTAATTTCCGCGCAGTTTCAGCGCCAGCCGGGTATCTCAAGGAAGGGGGCAGATGTGTGAGATAGCTGGTTACATTGTATCCACAGTTAGCAAGAAGACAATGACAAGTTCTGGCACTCAGCTGGCCAGTGTCCCATTTCTTACACAGTTTGGGATCTCAACCCACAGCATGGTGTTGCCTATGTTTAGGGTGACTCTCCCCACCTTGGCGATGGTTGGTGTCACACTGACAGAATCTAGAATCACCTGAGAAACGGCTTTGTTTAGGAGGTTATCTTGACTGCATTAATGGAGAAAAAAGACCCAAGCACTGTGGGCGGAGTCATTCCCTGGATTAGTTCCTAGACTGTGTAAATGGAGAAAGTGTGTATCCAATGCCCTCTGCTTTCTGACTGTGAATGTGATGTCACCAGCTGCCTCAAGCTCCTGCTGTCTCAACTTCCTGTCATGATGAACAGAACCTTGAAGTGTTAAAGGAAACCCTTCTTTCTTAAGTAGATTTTGTCAGGGTGTTTAAAAAATATGTGTGTGTGTGGTGTGGTGTGTCTGTGAGTCTATGGCACATATGGCAGATGACTGTGACATAGGAGCTGGGGTTACAGGTGATTTGAGTTGCCTGCCATGGGTGCT